CCTGCTTTGCTTTCTCTCACTTCCCCTATCTGGTGATAACCAGTGGATTTCATCTAACCCACCTACATCTCCTCTTTTGATTGTAGTTATAAAACAAGTGCAAAACCGCCATTCTCCAGAGCATTATCTCAAACCGTTGAGATTCTGCTTCCCAGCATTTGCCGACAGTTTGGCTCAAATAAACTCACAAAAAATTCTTCACAGGTTTGAATGTTTCTTACGTGTCTTGAGGGTTTTTATCTGGCGGTCCCAGGGGAGGATCTCAATAGAATATTCATCAGCTTTCCAGGTGTGTCCTTCCAGGGTTCTGGTCTCCAACTGGTAGGTGCCAGGGCAGGGGAGTCATTCGTCACAGCAGCCAGTCCTGCTGGCAGCCAGTCCTATGGCAGCCATGGCATTGCCCTGCCTGGCCTTGCTGCATTTCTGGGTCTGGAGCTGAAACACAATTGGCATCTAGATGTTATCTGTAGTCAATGCAGCTAGTCCAGAGGTCAGCCTTGGTGTGGCTTATCTGGTTTTGCTGCTTTTCTGGGCCTTGAGCTGAAATACAACTGAGGCCTAAATGTTATCTCTAGGGAGGAAAGGTCAAGGGTTCCAAACCAAAGGACCAGTGGTATGCTAGGGGAGGAAAGGTCACCCTGACATCTCACCTTGTAATTGTCCCTTGCTAGGTATGGGACCTCCCATACTGGTCATGTCTAACTGCCTACTACAGAGCCAACATCCCCTTACCCACCGTGGCTACTGAGGGATGACTGTATTGCCTTTCTTAAATATTTTTAGAAGATATTTCCCAATTCTTTCTAATTTGGGAGTCCAGAGTATAGGAGTCATTTTCAGTAAATAGCATAATATTTTTTAATATGTTTTCTTTTGCATTGAGTTTAGTGACAGCAAGGGAGGACAGACAGAGATCAATTGACTGCCTCTGGCATGCCCCCTACTGGGGATCCCGCATCCTAGACATGTGCCCTGACCAGGAATTGAACACATGGCAGGTTCATGGGTCATGGCTCAAACACTGAGCCACACTGGCCAGGCATTAGCACAATATTTTTAAAGCTAGAATCTGACTTCTTTTTTAAAAGATTACAACACTGAAGTCTAGAAAAATATTTAAGGTAGAGTTGTTACCGGTAAGGGGACCTGGCCCTAAATGGGTTTGCCTAGGGCCAGCGGGTAGTGTGTGGGTTCTTGAGTTCCTGCAGAAAATTTCACAACATGAGTCCAGGTGAGTTTTAGAGGACATTAAAGCTGGGGACAGTGAAACAAGAAATGGCTGGGGGCACATCAATTGGTTGCCTCCCAAACTTGCCCTGACCAAGGCAGGGGATCGAGCCTGCAACTGAGGTGCTGCCCTTGATCAGGAATCATACCACAACCCTTAGGTCAGTGGGCCAATGCTCTAACCACTGAGAAAACCAGCCAGGGCTATTCTCTTAACTTCATGTGTCCTTGGGAATGGTTGGCAAATGGCACTAATTAGATTTCTGCTGTCTCCCTGAGTAGGGTGATTTAAGCTATTTACCCTTTGGTTGAGAAGTGTAAATCATTTATTCTTAAACTAGAGGCCCAGTGCACAAATTCGTGCACGGGTGGGATCTCTCTGAGTGGCCTGCAGGGATCAGGCTGAAACCCACAGTCCAATGCCGCCTGCAGCTCCTACCTGCCGCTTCCACTCCTGCTCATCCCAGCCCCACTGTGCTGGCCACGGGCTCTCACCCAATCAGTCCCAATCAGGAGAGGCTCCTGCTGCCACAGCAGCACTCACCAGCCACAAGCCCTGTGTCTGGCGCCCTCCCAAGGGGAGTGGCCTGCAGGAACGAGATGAAACTGGCTCTCTGACATCCCCCGAGGGATCCTGGATTGAGAGGGCACAGGACAGGTTGAGGGACCCCACCTGTGCACGATCCATCGGGCTGGGGAGGGACTGTGGGAGGGCTCCAGGGTGTGTCTGGCCCATCTCACTCAGTCCCGACTGCCAGACCCCAGCAGCAAGCTAAACTACTGATTGGAGCATCTGCCCCCTAGTGGCAGTGCACATCATAGCGGCTGGTCAACCAGTTGACTGTCTGTCCCCTGATGGTCAGTGCACCTCATAGAGTTGAGCAGCCTTAGCATATCATTAGCATATTACGCTTTGATTGATTGGCCGGTAATTCTGCCATTTGGTCTATTGCATATTACCTTTTTATTATATAGGAGGATGTCCCTGGTTTAGGGAACACAGGGATTTTCTAGATGGCTGCACACTGCTGTTTAACTATCTGGTCTCAGTTTCCCTATTCCACTTGTCCTGTTTTATTGGCCTCAGTCACAACTAAAATTCAGATTTCTTGACTACTTAGGTCAGCATATACAGTATTTCCTTACACCATTTAACCTAGCCCTTAAATACCCAAATAAAGAGATACTTTGGTTTCTCCTCTCCCACCCCAAACTACTTTTTTAAAATAAAATAAATTTCCACTACTTTTGTATTGTTTGCATGGTTCTTGCTTAAACTTAGGAAAACTTCCTGATTTTCTACTACTCTACATGTAGATAGCAACATTTTATTTGTAAACAAAAGGTAGAAAAGGACACATTCTCATTTAACAAAGTACACTGAAATGCCTAACTCAAAAATGTAAACTATTTCTGTAGTAAAGCCTGGGTTAATCTGTTTGGAACAGTGACAAGTTGAATTCTTCCCCATCTCTAAGATCTTGCACATTTATTTCTGTGGGAAATTTGAGCTCATGCAAAATATGGGAGATTTGAACATATATGAGATTATTTTGTTTTCATACTTGATTATATTATATTCTTGATTAAATATATTCTTGATTTTGAGGGTCCTTTGACCTCTTACAGGAAACTAATCCCTCCACTCTTCCCCTACCCTCTCCCCTCCTTCAACTAAATCTAAATATCTATAAAACACAATTGTTTCACCAATGGCCAAGCCAACAAATGTGTCTTGTTAGCTGTGTCCATAAAAGGGACATTCTCAATTGTATGAGCACATCACAAACCACAGACTTGCAAAATTCTTGAGATTTTGAAATGTGTGGGGAAGGGAATAGGGGAGTTGCAAAGAGCTCTTCTAAGTTTATTGGGTTTTACAACAATGGGTGGCCAGACAAAATTTAACAACCACTTTTAAGAAAGTGAAGGGTTAGAATTTAAATTTGAAGATAAATTTAAGAAAGGAGTAATAAGATAACACATTAACATAGTTTTATCCTTCACAAACTGTACCAAAACAGAACCAGAAGTTGTTTTTTTATTATACAAGGGGCTTTAAGACCAGTAGCAGTTCCAGAAATATACCTTAACCAATTAATTTTGGATATGAGCAAAGATTTACTACAGGAATATTCATTAAAGCATTGTTTATACTGCTAGCAAAAGTTTGAAAATAACTGCAATACTAAATTGGGATTGGTAAATGTTGTTCCATCAATACAATACATATTTGATATATAGACATTAAAAATGGTATTTTGGAAGATTATTTACTCATATGGGAACATGACTCCAACAAATCACTAAATGAAAAAAACAAGTCTCAAAACTGAATGTGCACTATGATTACTTGTTGCAAGTTTTAAGAAATAAAATCAAATATATGTATGCACACATATACATACAACATACACACGAGATGCACAGAAAAAAGACTGTACATTTATATAACACAAAGTGTTAACATTTGTTATCTCTAAGAGATTTTAAGAAATATATATATTATTGATTTTTTTACAGAAAGGAAGGGAGAGGGATGGATGCTGGAAGCCGGTCCACCCTTGCTGCTTGACGCAGTCGCTGCTGGCGTATATGACATATGTTTGCTCCCCCTCTTAGCGCTATGTGTTTTAACCAGGACCACCTCCCCGAGAAAGGTTGTTTGCCCAGGTTAGGGGTTAACAGGACTAAGGAAGAGAAAAAAATCAATAAATCCCCCTAGTGTTACAGAAATACCATGTACTACTTATGAAGAACTTGGACTAAGACTGTTGGCAATAAATTTGGGACTTGATGGGCCCACATCCCCAGGGATCTGCCCACCAGGGAAAGCACCAAAGCCTATACCCCTGGAGACCCACCGACACAGGGCAGTCCCAGCGAGAACTATTTTAAACAGGTGCATACAAGGTAAAACTCCCAAATATGAGACACCTACAAGGCAAAAAGAAAAAGGCAAACAATTCACAGGGGCGTAAAAATGGCAAAAAGATAGGAAAAAGCAATTCAGAAAAGAGGAGACATAAATGACTAATAGGTACAAGGTAACCTGCTCAGTCTTAATCATAACCAAAACACCTCTCTGAGGTACCACCCGCAACCAAGGTACAGGCCCTTGACCGGACTTGAACCTGGGACCCTTCAGTCTGAAGGCTGACGCTCGATCCACTGAGCCAAATCAGTTAGGGCTCTAAGAGATTTTTGTTTTGTTTTTTCTGATTTACTTAAAATTTTCAAGTGAATATTTGTCACTTTTATAAGGAAAAGAATAGTGAATATTATATATATATATATATATATATGATTATTAAAAGATCATTGAGTAGCATACACATGGAATTTATTAATCTGTAGAGTCTTGAAGCCTTATGGGTCAAAAGCATAAGTTCAAATAAAATTGACTGAAATAAATTTATGGTTAATGACAACATAAAAAGTAAGAAATGTTCATGGAATATCTCAAATGTGTTTGAAGTTGCTGTTATAGATACAGAGTCCACTTTCACAAAACCTTCTGAATCACAGCAGAGGGGGTAAGGAACTGAAACAAGAAAGGGACACAGAAATTGCTGTCATAGTCAATGACTGGAAAACAGGCTGAATGGATTATCACTCTGACCCAGAAGGACATTTCTGATGTTCTCATGTTTTCTATCACGCCACTAACTTATCTGATAACCGATCATACACGAGGCTGTGTAACAGTTAACACCTGAAACAGTGACATATCCTAAGGCATTCCATTTTTCCTACTTATTTGCAACAAACAACTCTAGAAATTGGCAGGCTCCCCTTGTGTTTCATTTTCCTTCTTACAACATCCATCTATACTTCTTGTGCCTGTCCTTATCATTTTACTCAAAACATACTCTGGTTACAGTGACCTTTTCTAAGGTAAACACTAGGAGATAAAAAATTTTTTTCAATTCATCTTGACCTCTCTATGAACATAGAAGTATTCACTGTGGCATGACTGTCCCCATTTGCATCCTACCCTTTCCTTTTTATCTTTCTTCCTGTTAGAGGTTGGGGGTTCTAGTCCTTTCTGTGCCTCTAATGGCAAGCCACTTTTGTCCTAGTAGGGCATAATTGATATGTGGAAATTCTAAAGCATTTAAAAATATGATTATTGAACTACATGTGATATCTCCCTCGAAGTCTAACATTTTATCCTATACTTTTTAATTGCAGATGGTATTACAGATGTCCCCGTTTCCCACGCCCTCCTCCCTTCACCCAGCCCACCCTAGGCCTACATTTTGATTATATTTTCAGTGAATTCATCTGATCCAGGAGTTAGAAATTGCATTTTGGCACATTTTAGAAGACTCCTTCCATTACACCAAAGCTGCTGCTGATTCAATAAGCACAGAATGTCTTGTACCTTTAAAATAATAGCACCTCAAACAGGTAATTCTTCAATTGCTGAGGTTGAAAGTAAATGATACATGATTTTAAGGGAAAGGCTGAGTCATAGCTGACACCTAAAAACTTCACTTCCTTAAAAAACAAACAAACAAAAACCAACCTTTGTCCTTCTTAAGTCTAACAAACTTACATCTTAAGATGGAGTAAAATGAAATAACATTTGAAAAGGCTATGGCCACTCATACCATTTTGCTGGGTATTGTCAGTGCTGGAAACAAATGCGGAGACATCAAATATATTCACAAAATCATAGACTCTCAGTGGAAGGCCTTCTAAAAGTCACTTAAACGAATGGTTTCCAGAGTGTGGGATTTCAAAAGCTTATAAAAGTTAAAAAAGAAAAGAAAAAGAGGGCAGATAAAATGTCAACTTTAATTTTGTCAAATAAGGATATTAGCAAAACAACAAACTGCTACCTACCATTAGCACCATTTTATAAAACCGCAGCATGAAGTACAATTTTATTTTTTAAAATTTATTTATAAATGTATTTTTATTGACTTCAGAGAGGAAGGGAAAGGGAGAGACAGAAACATCGATGGTGAGAGAGAACCATGGATGGGCGGCCTCCAGCATGTCCCTCCTGGGGATGGAGCCACAATCCGGACATGTGCCCTCCCCAGGAATCCCACCCTGACCTCCTGGTCCCAAGGTCCATGCTCAACCACTGAGCAACACTGGTTTGGCTACTCATTTATCTTTAAATATGTCTTTATTGATTTTTGGAGAGCCTGAACAAACCCAGCCAATCCTGGGCTGCTTTCCTCTGCCTCTCCACCAGAGGCGACAGCTCCTTTCAAAACAAATGGAGCTGGACTAGGCCAGTTGGGGGCGGAAGGAGTGGCGGAAAGATCAAAGGTTTAAAACCGCCTCAGAAAGCGAAGGTCAACTCCCAACTCCAAGACCTGAAGCTTCCATCTTACAAGAACAATGAAGGTGACTCCTCTCTAACTGCTCCGGAGGCCTGGCGCCAGGCCTTTCCGGGACCGGGCGTTGCCGAGGTGACTAACAAACAGGTAGCATGACTGGAACAGCCGACGACCGGAAGTGAGAATGAGCCGGGGGCGGGAGCGAGGAGCTTGCCACCGCGCGCCTGCGCAGTCAGCCGGGCTGCAGTACGCATGAGCAGTTGGGCGGTGACGGGGTAACGCTCTGAGCGTGAGCCGCGACTTTCACGGGTCCGGTTCCGCCCTCTTCTCACTGCCGACCCTCCGGGGCTTGTGCTGAGAAGTCTTTCCCAGAGTGCTCTGCGCCGTGAAGAAGCGGCTCCCGGGGACTGGGGGCATTTTGCGTTGGCTGGAGCCGGAGTAACAAGATGGCGGCGTCGGCGGAGTGGGCGTGCTCGGTTCCCTGCCTCCCTCCTCCGCAGCCTTGCTCAGGGGACCAGCCCAGCGGCCCGCGTCCTCCTCTCCGAGGTGTCGGGGCTGGGCCCCAGCCTCCGCCTTCGTCTCTCACGATGGCGAGCAGCAGCGGCTCCAAGGCCGAGTTCATTGTCGGAGGGAAATACAAACTGGTACGGAAGATTGGGTCTGGCTCCTTCGGGGACATTTATCTGGCGATCAACATCACCAATGGCGAGGTAATCCCCTGGGGTGGGGTTCGCGACGACGCTGTGTCTGCCCCCCCCACCC